ATATATATATATATATCTTGTCAGTTTTATTAAAATTCACTCTGCTATATACTTTTATATAGAAAAATTTACTTGTTAAAATATGTTCAAGAATGATGTGTACATTTAATTTTTATTGCAAATACTTAAAAATTGTTGGATAATTCAAGAGCCATACTTGTAAGTAGTTGTGGGCAAACATTTCCTTGACAAACTAGCTCTGTGCAACAGGTTTACACAATTAACGACGAATCACAGCATTTGCTACTATGTGGAATACCCGCGTTGAAATTAGAAAGCGAAGTAGAGAGGCTCGTTCATTCTTACGGAGAGGTAAAAGCAATCGAATTGGCAACTGAATATCCGTCGGAAGAATTTACGGACACGTATCATATACATTACGCACGTATTCAAAGTGCGAGGTGCGTATATATATATATTTCTGTTTTTGTTAAAGAAAATTTATGTTCACAACAATATGATAGGAACTTGCTGACACAATTTAGAAAGACTAACACGTAAGTTATTTGTTCTTGTTTTTTTTGGACAGAGTGGCAAAGCGAATAATTGACAACAAGAACTTTTATGGTGGACTTCTGCATGTTTTTTACGTTCCTGAATTGGAAACTGTGACAGAAACAAGAGCAAAACTCATACAGCGTCGCAAGGAGGTAGCGAGACAGATAAAAAGAAATCAACAAGATTTAACAAACCCAGAAGTTGACACGTTTGTCCCAAAGTATATCTAAGCACTGTCATTACCATATTTTGTGTGTTCGCACGTGCACAAAAAACACCTTTTACTTTAATGTTTACATGTATTTAAATATTGCATTTTTTAGAGAACAGTATCACAGAAGAAAGAAAAACCCTGCTTTGCCTCTCACCGAAGAACGACTTAAACATTGTTATCCTGGAGAAACACTTACGTCTATTTGCAACGGTATACCTCAAAACATAGATCCACGATGTGTAACCGAGCCTGGTTTACCGATTAACTGGAACACTAGTTGGAGTAACACCGCATCGGGATCAGACTCGCTATCGGCATCGAATCAATCGATCGAAGCAAGAGCGACGCAACCGGTAACTCAAAAGCCAAATTCGGACTCGAATTTTACGCGAAAGAGAAAAAATTACAAAGGACAACGTATCGACGATGGTGTCAAAGTTAAGATCTTTCGGCCGCAACTTATGGATACCAGAAAACTCGCGAAACCGAGTTTCACCGAGAAAACAAACGTGTTCTACAATGTGAAAAAAGTCGAGAGTGGAATCACAGTCAAGTTGTTGAAACAATCTGATAATGAGAAAAAGAAAATAGTCATAAAAAATCCAAAGTGCGTATTTCTACAGATAATTCTATTTTGATATAAAATTTCACACGTGTTCTAATTAATAATAATTCTCTTTGTCATTCTAATCTATTGCGAATATTAATTTTTCAGCGTAACACATTTGATAAAACCTAGCGAAGACCTTCAATCCTCGATTCAAGCGGCAAAGTCTCAAATTCGCAGCGCGATGCAAAAGCATAGCACTTGAATAAACAAATAAATTTTTGTATCAAAGTTGTCCGGCGCAAGATGAAATTGCTTAAATGTGGGACGAACTTATTTTATTTATTTATTTATTTTACACCTCCAGTGAAATAAGAAAAAAAAACTTACACATTTTTAAATACAAAAATACTTAAATTACTTATACACCTTAATTATTTATCTCAATTAACAAATTATCAAGAATAAAATTCGATCATTTGTCCTTATCGTAAAACAAATTAGCTAAAAACATTTAAAATCATTTAAAATTAGTTAAATGAAGACTGTGGTATTCGGATCCCATTGATTGTCACTTTTGCTCTTTGCGTTGTATCTCTTCGGAGGCGTGTTTTCTTGCTGTATCCTGGTATCAATTGAATTTCTCGATCTTTGCGTCAAGTTCAATGCCATCTTTTGACCATTGTTAGATCGATTGCCAAGCGGCGTTCGATTCTAAAAAAAAAAAAAAAAGTATGTTTATAAATTTTATTTTAAAATGCTATTATATATACATATATATGTACATTTGAAACATTTATATATTATTTAAATTACCATTGACATTTCAGTTCCACATTTTTTCTCAGGGGTGAAAATCTTTTTCTCACTTGATATAAATTTAACATCCGGTTTGATGCTCCTTCTTTTTTTCTCATCGTCTCTTTTGCCGTCTTTATGACACAATTCCGTTTTTATTGTTTTATTACCAGATGTACTAATTGCGGTACATTCATCAAATGTTATAATTATTTCTTCCCTGGAAATCTTTCCCCGCGGTAACTTTTCTACAATATTCTCGACCTCTTTCTTACCTGACAACTCTTTCTCCGACGATGACGAATCGTGCCATACTTCGATTTTATTGTCACTGTTGTTCGAACGCGTATTCTTTGTTATATCAATTTCGATATTTTCGTAATTATCATTCTTCTTAATTTTGTCCTTAACGATCGTTAACGTCTCTTCTTCGCTCGAGATCGACGTTGTCTCTTGCCTCTTCTTGAATCTCGGATTATTGATAACCGTTACTTCGTCCTCTTCGCTTTCAAAAATCTCGTCGTCGCTCGGATTCGATTCGGATTTGATCGTATCGAATTCGGTCGCTTGATTCAGATTTAATTTCGTTCGAATTTCCGAGGCCACGTTCAAAAACAATTCGGGAATGCTGCGCGACAAACTGATTTCCAGATTTCCCGGACTGTCCGGATTGTAAACATCCGTCTCGTAACTTCCTTTGCGATTCAAATGTTCTTGCGAACGTGCCTTCATCAACGCAAGAGATTTTGATACTAAAATAGGAGTTCTTTCGAAATCCGCAGCCGGAGATCTGGGATCCAATCCCAAAACTCTGTAACGTTCCTTATCTATCGATGTAAATTTTTTTTTACCCCTTTTTGCGACATTGGCTTTCGGCGTTAGATAGTCATTGTCACGTTTCTCATCCTGTATACATTATATGAAACAATATTTTAATTGTGACAATTCTCTTCTCTCAGAGATATAAAACAAGTTTACATTTATGTAGCAATAATTTTATACACCACAGTGTGTGTATTAAAAAAACAAATTTGACAAATTTGAAGATATGTTCTAGTTTTATCTAAGAAAATTTATAGAAGAAAAAATAACAAACAAGAATTAAGATAACGAGTAAAGACATTAATTGACATACTGATTCCACAGAAAGATTGCTAGTTATTGATCTTGGCAACGGAGGTTTCTTAGGCGACAACGGTGGCATTACCACATCCAAATTAGTCTCGAGAAATTGCTTTGTCTGCAAATGTCTTGGAATTGCACTGGGTATTTTCTTAGTTGTCGCGAGTGGAGGAGTATTCACCTAATAAATTTCATTAAAAAAAAAATTAAAATTTATTTTGCGCATACATTCATCATCATAAGATTCAAATGAGCTAATGTAATAATCATATACAGTCAATCAATTTGTTTTTCTGCAGAGTATTGAATAAATTAGATTTTATGAGTAACTAAAATAGATTTTTTTTTTTTTTTTACCTCAATAGGAGTTCTCGTTATTCCTACTGTAATTGATCGCGGATCGACCAGTACCCTTCTTTGGGGCAATTTTGGTGTTGTTTGCACGTTGCAGTCGGTTTCATTGTTTTCTTTTTGATTTTCGTGAATACGAAACATCAACTTGTTCGCGTAATTGCCCATGATGATTTTTTGAGTGCACGCGGAATAAAATCAAACTTTTGATCGGATACGGATACTGAGATCCGGATGCTTACTACAGCTGTTTACGTTCAAAATTGAAACTGGCAAACGAACAAGTACTGCCAACCACTTAAACGTAAAATTCAAATAATGCCAACGTGACGTAATAAATACTTTACGTCACTAGTTGCACATCAGGGCGTGTTAATTTACCAAACTGCGACGTTTGAAAACACAAACGGTTATATTATCAGACGCATCAACCGTAATTGAGTCAATCGGCAAATTAACGTCACATCTATTTTTATTCGTAGATAAGGTATTAAAAAAAAGTTTAAGTTTTTTTTTGTGTATTTAATTTAATACGTATTAAATATATAATTTTTTTAAGTAGCGCTAAACGTAATTCTCACATCTAAGATTTAAGATAAAAAAAGAAGTAATTTGGATTTTATCTTAATAATATTTTAATTGCGCACTGTATGCAGCGTAATTGCTCGTTTATATTATCGCGTTATAAATATGTTTCTTAATTTTGTTGCGTGGAAATAAAAAAATTTTTTCGAAAAGGAAATCATCGTTTATTTTTTCTAGGTGTACACATATATCGTTATATATAAAAAACAAAAAAAAAAAACATTAAATAAATATAAAATATATTACACGATACACAAGACCGCAGCGTTTTTGTTTTTCCTTTTAGAAGAAACATAATAAATTTGTTGCAAGGAGAAAAGCGATATATAAATTTATACAAAACTACAAATTACATACAACTAAGAATAGTGTCGAAACAATACGAGAATCTATAAATATTATTAATTCGTAATGCCGCTAATATATATTTAATCAAGCTTCGGTATGTGAGAAGGAAAACCTACGTTACGTCATCATAAATCATTACATACGGCATATTGATTGCAGGAAAGCGTATAACTACGGCGACTTCGTCGTAGTTTCACACACACGTACACGTATGTATATATATGTATATATATATATTTAATAAGATTTACATTCCACCCAGTCAGTTTTCTAGCGCGTATATCGCACAATAAAGTGAGAACAAAAACAAACTTAATATCGAAGCACAGAAGAGAAAAACGCACACAGTGTTTTTTTTATGTACGAAGAAGTATACTTTATTATTTTTGAAAATGATTAAACGCGTATTAAATATATATTTATATAAAGACGGCAAGATATACACACGCGCCTCGTATTGTGTTTATCAATATACAATGTTTTTCACGTTTATCCTACGTTACTTGAAAATCGCGCGAAGCAAGTTTTAAAAAGCTATGCTCACATTTGTAAACACGCATTAATCATTCTCACACACGCACACACACACACATATGCTGCTCTATCGTGTTATTCTTCCTTTTTATAGTTTTTTTTTTTTTTTTATAATTATTGCAATGAAAAATGACGTGTCTGCGCTATAAGATTATGTTAATTAAGTACATTACATTTGTATATAAGAACACTTTGATCATTACATTACCTTTGAACAGTACCGTGACCCTTTGAGGAGTGGCAACGTATACACACACACACACGCGCGTATGTGCTAGTGGCAGTTTGTTTTTATATATACATATATAAACTACGAGTTTTTATTAAAAAAAAAAAAAAAAAAAAAGTAAATAAGATTATAAAACTCGTATAAAAATTTCCAATGCGAAGCTAATAATAAGTGGAAATAACAGTGTCAGACAACATTATGAAGAAAATGAAAACGAGTCAACTTACATTCTCATTCAGGTGTTTGAATAATTAATTGTTACAATGAACAAAAAGAAATATAAAAAAAACTCGTAAGTCATTCAAGGAGTAAAAAAAGTATGTTGAATCTCTTACGTAAACGTTTAAAAACATAAATTTCGGATATATAAAAACAAATCTCAACATGAGTTTTTTCCACAAAGGAAAACGGCAAAGAATCACCCGATCCTCAAAGGGTTGATATAAAAAAAACAAAAAAAACAATGACAAGTAAACTATCGGAATGTTCTTCGACGATAAGATAACAAAATGTGTCGCGCGCCGCATTACAGCACCGGTGCGGTGCTTCTTCGTGGTTTTTTTTTTGTTTTTTATTATTATTATTATTATTCGTTGCTGCATTGTATCTCTCATTAATCTAACTTTTGCGTTTTCCGCGCAATCGGGGGAGAGTGTAGTTTAAATTTCATAAAATCTCTCTGTATGTATATAATATACGGCACAATATCGGAGGTACGTTCTAATGAAGAATGACTAGGCAATTCTGATGTGTATTTATCGTTCTTTTTTTTTTTTTTTTTTTTTGATTGCATCGACACATATGTTGTGTGTATACATATATATATAATTTTCAATATGCATATAATTATATATATATATATATATATGTATAGTATACAGTTTCGTTTTTCTTCTTTATATATTTGTATATGTATATACGTATCAAATTATTCATACGCATTTAGAAAACGGGAGCGATTGTTTAATCGGCGACGGGCAAGTATATACACAGTAGCGTTTTCCGGGACCTACTTTAGTCGCAAGTGATGAAATATAATCCGCACGCGCAAACACACGCACACGCACACGCACGCACACCCACACATCCACACACACACACACACACCTTCAGTCAAGTGTGTACTTGCACTTTGTATTTCTCCGCGTGTTATGACTAGAAACTCTCTGTTTTACTCGGTTTTTGCTCGTGCAGCCACTTCACCATTGGCTGCGTCGACTTCCGACTTGCGATTTCTTGCTTGCTGTCGCAACTGAGCCCGTTTCAGACTTGTCATTAATTGACTGGACTGATAAAGCCAACTGGCCTAAAAAAAAGCAGCATATTTGTTTGTTTTTTTTTTTTTTTTGATATGATCGCGCGCGTGTAAACCGATTAAAAAAAATTGCAATACGAACACGCGCATTGATCAAACGAGAAATTTGATCTCAAATTTCTCGTGTCAACCGCTGCTTTTAAAACACAGCGAATTTTATACTCACCACCATGATCATGCAGTTCATTAAAATAGGTACCGAAAACACAACGGATATAAACAAGCCTTTGGAATCGAAGTACTGCTGTCTTGAGAATACCCTGCGAAAAAACAAAAAATGGGAAACTTAATTAATTACGAGAAAAAGAAAAGAGAATCTCGCGCTTTTTGATCAACGTTAATTAATACGTACATCCAATTTGTCGCCGCAACTTCGTTTATAGTTTCTGAGAAATAAACCAGAAGCACTGAAACAACATGAAAACCCCACAGTTTAAATAATATCTTGCGAAGAAACGGAAATGATAAAAATTATTTTTCAATAATTACACCGGATTCTTACAAAGCACGAGAAACAGAATGATCTGAAAATTTGCATGATTTCGTGTCATTAGCGCGGTCATTGTGACGACAATGTGAAAAGTCAGCACCACGGCTAGCCACGGATCCCTCCAATCAATCTGCAACAGAAGCATATGTAATTGATACGTCGCGTAATATTGATACCAATCTTCCAATCTCCAAACAAATCGAATCGTTATTATCACCTTCAATCAATAAGACAAGGATTGAGTTTTTGTTTTCATTTAAAAAAAACAAAAACAAAAACAACTTTTACGTTGAAAGAGAGATAAGGTTGACAATGGCACCGGATAAAAATAAACATTTTTTCTCTTTCAATCTATTGGATTTCTAATCTATTGGAATAGGTTAAAAAAAAAAAAAAAAAAATTTCTCAATCTCATTAATTGAAAAATGATTTTTCGCGTTCTTCTCTTTATCTATTTATTAATTTTTACACAAAAGATTTTTGCGATAACGGCTAGTATTACATTTGTCGTACGACAACGATTTTAAGTATGTTGATTGCTTGTCAGATAGAGTTTTTCAAAGAACTCTATTTGGGGTAGCCAATCAACATACTTAAAATCGTTGTCGCGCGACAAATGTAATATCAGCCTTACTGTAAAAAAAAAAAAAAAAAAAAAAAAGAAGATCGAAATGTTTGCAAATATTCGCGCAAAGTGCGAGATGTGCCGAAAAAATTAACTTGTGATTCAAAAATATTATCCGAAAAAAAATCTGGAGATTAATTAATCTCGCATAAAATGTCAGAGAGACAAACGCGCGTGTAATTTTCGCGTTCTCGCGGCGTGTCCTTGAGAACGCGACGACGACGACGACAACGACAAAAATAGAGAGAGATTGTATCGAATGCGATTATAAGAAAGAATTTTTGGATCAGAGCGATTTTCTCGATCTTTCGTTCGGAGTCGATTAAACAATCAGCTTGAATGATTGTTTATAAAAAGAGAACGGAAATAGTCCGTTCTCTTTTCTTTTCTTTTTTTTTTTAACACGATTTTCCGTCTGTATCGTGTCTCGTCCAGACACGCGACAATGCCGGCGATAAGATAACGTCGCGCACAAGTCATTTGACGCAATATACCAGTATGCGTCTCAAATTGGCGAAACTTTAAACGAGCGCGGCCGGCGAGCGTACGGAGTTAAAACGCGGCATTATCAGGAAAATGACAGTTTGACTAAACAAACTCTCCGGACACGCGTACACAAATATATTTGTCTCTGTTCTCTCTGTCCCTCTCTCTCTCTCTCTCTATTTTGTTTTGCTACCACTGGTATTGTTTTAATTGCGTTTTTGTTGTCTTTATTCTCTCCAAAAAAAAAAAAAAAAAATGAGATACCATGTGCGCGCACAATTTATTTATTTATTTATACAACCAATTTTTGCGCGAGTTTGCAAGACGAGCGACGGCAAAAAAGTTAACAAACTAGATATCTAGTTCTTTTCGCACTCACTCCGAAATGTGGGTTTTCCGGAGTTTACTTTCGACTTCCCTTTCACAAATTCCAAACGTTCTCGACGTTTAACAATATACGGCGCGGAGGATACAATCGAGATCCAGCTCCAAAAAAAAAAAACAAACAAAACGCCCAAACGCAAGAATTAAGATGACAGACCGTTCGTTCGCGTTTCGGTGCTCGAAACGTCACGGGATCGTGTTTGTCGCGAGAACCGAATTTGTCGTAGAAAGCGACAGCTGTGACAAAGCGGCGAGGAGAAGGAAACGGTAAAAACACACAATAAAGAGGAAACACACTCACGCTCTGCAAGAAGGGCCAAATACCGTCGATACTGTCTGTGGCTATGACCATCGGTTCTTGACTCGACATCGTGGCTGCTGCTGCTGCTGCGACGCACAGATTCTCTCGCGAGTTTTATCACCGCGACGACGACGACGACAACGACGACGACTACGATGACGGTAGCGACAAATGTGAACCGGAGGAACAGAAGAAGAGGAAGAAGAAGAAGGTGAGCGCATCCGCGTTAAAAAACACCACGCTGTTTCTCGCATCCACCGGCGCGATTTGCGACTGACTGACTGACCGACGAACGACCACGACCGTCGTCAAATATCGGCACGAGAGAAGGCAAACACAGGCGGCACACACACAGAGAGAGAGAGAGAGACGTGCGATTGCGCGCGCGACACACGGTTGTTGTTTCGGAGAGAGACCTCACGCGGAAAAAACGCGCAGAGAGAATTCGAACATTTCAGCAGCTACCTACCACACGAATCGAAAATCGAACTTTCCAGGTTCCTCGGCAGAACTTTCTCTCCGAGACAAAAATTTGAAAAATTTATTATCTCTCTTCTTCTGATTTGATGTGAAAATTTATGCGAGGAACCATTAAAACTCTCGCGTGTCCGCAAATCTGCAATATCTCTTCTGTACAATCGCACAGTGACAAGTTTATTTACAAAAATCTGTCGCATGTTTTGTACATGAGAGAACAATTTACCAAGTACACAAATTATAAATTATATATACATTAAAAACATAACGTCATAGCTACGTTCGAATCAAAGATGTATGTGCAATGCACACGCATCTTTTTTTATATCTATCTCTTTCTCTAGATTCAGTTTTAATTAACTCAAATCTATGTCGGCAAAATAATTATCTAATTGTTCGAGCGTAAACTCGTGACTAACGGAATTGTTCAAATCATGAAGTTCGAACAAAGGCGTCGACTGGGTCGCCGCCTTGCCAATCACAATTATGTAAGGATATCCTGTAGCGCGCGCGTAGAGCATTCGTTTGCCGATTGTGAAACGTGTCCGGTCGTCCAATATCGCGTCGATGTCACGCTTGCAAAGAATCTCGGACAATTGCTGAACATAAGCAGACGTAGCTTCTTCCTTGCTTCCAACCTGTTATATATATATAATTCATTCATTCACATAACAACGCCTTTGCTCTTACAGATTTTCACATATAAAACAAGAAAGCGCGTAAATACGGATGATCACCTTTGGAGGTATAACGCATGCTGTGTAAGGTGCTAATTTCACAGGCCATCTCATTTCGTTGTTTATCGACAAAGTTTCAACGGCCAACATAAGAATGCGACTCAGTCCGAGACCGAAACAACCCATTGCCGCCGTATTTATCTCATTGTACTCCAAATATTTTACTTGAAACGGTTTAGAATATTTGGTATTCAACAAGAACGTGTGTCCCACCTGCAAGTAACAAGAGAACGGGATTTTAAAATATTCAAAAAATTCATTGAGCGTACGTTGGATTGATATTACAAAAAAATCTAAAATCTCTCTAATTTTCTCTCCTAAGAATATTTTTTTTCTTACTTCGGCAGTGGTGTGTTTGTGCAATTCGGTTTTGCATCCGGGACAATTTGACGTATCGGCAATAGTTTCGTTGATAGAAAAGTCACACGAAGGACACCGAAGAACGATATCTTCACCCGCTTCGGTAATGTAATGATACTCATGCGACGACAAACCCCCAATTGTTCCCACATTGCCCACAGCTTTTAAAATATACAACGTATGTATGTACATTACACACGTAATAATTTAAGTACAGAGACACTTTTTTTTAAAATTCTAATTTATAATTTATTTATGAGAGCGCGCATATTGATGAGAAAAAAAAAAAACCATTTACCTTTTACATATTTTATACCAAGCTTTTTAAAAATGTTATCGTAAGACTTGCAGACTAAATTATACGTTTGTTGCGCGTATTCCAAACTGCTGTCAAATGTGTACAAGTCCTTCATGACAAATTCTCTGCTACGAAGAAGATCAAGACGCGGATGCATCTCGTCCCGCCACTTGCTAGAAATTTGATACAATCTCAGAGGCAATAACTTATGAGGAAGATGTCCCATAGACGAAATTAGATCACAGATTTGCTCCTCGCAAGTCTATAACACAAAGAAGAGAAATACTCAACACTGTAAATGTATGTTAAACAGTTTTATTTCTAACTGAAGTAAAATTTTTATTACGTACCACACACGGATCTCACTTACCGGGCTTAAAATATATTCCTTATTGTGTCTATCTGTAACCGTAAATAGTTCAGTTTTGTTAGAGTCGTATCTATCGGATCTTTTCCACAATGCGGTGGAAGTTAACGCTGGAAGTAGTATTTTTTCTGCACCAATTTTCGCCATTTCTTTGTCCACCAAATCTATCAGTTTGTTCAAAGCTCTCATTCCCAACGGCAACAGAGCGTACATACCGGTGTTAACCGATTTAATAATTCCATAATTGCTTAGCAACTGCAATTTTAAATTACGAAAGAAGCTAGAGATATAAATTTATATATATAGCTCATTGAATAATTTAAAAAAATATTTACATAATAGAGAACAAATTGAAAACAACACTTTAAAGGTCAATTGTCACAGATAAACTTCGATAATTTTTTTCTAAACAAGTGTAGTTATAAATAGGAATATTAAATAATATCGCAATTAATATTTCAAAAAAAAACAAACAAACAAACGCACCTTGAAATTTTTAGATACTTCCTTGTTTCTTTTGTCAAGTATTTCGATCGACATAGGTTGGAATAGTTTCGACATTTTAGCTAAGTTACCAATTGTTTTACTTGCCATTGTTTTGTGTATGTTTGAGTTGTATATTTTTAAAAACAACAAAAAAAGAAAAAGAGCCGGTTAGCGTTTGATTGGTTAGGCTATATTTATCATTAGTGGCTGTACCTAAGTCTCAATTTAGGGTAAGTTCCCACTTGCCGTTCGCGCGCGCGCACATGAAATCATTCCGTCCTTGTTTTTTTTTTATCGAAAATTAAACAAAGACAGTTAACGCTCACGAGCGTTGCGAACGGCAAATCGAACTTATATCCTTAGAACTTAGATTCGCTAAACGTTCGTTTTCACCTCAACTCCGATTATTAACTTAATCGACAATTAAGTATCAGTCGTGATTGGTCCGTTCTGCTAAACGATTAATGCGACTGGCAATTCCAATGGAATAATCGGCCGATTAAGTTAATTGAAAATGGTGAAACCGGGAGTAAATCTCTTGAATCGACCAATCACATTGACCGTCATTATGGACGAGGCTTAATCAATTGCATTAATTTGTTCAGTAAAGCCCCTTGCACAATGGAAGGAATAGCGATAGCGATAGAAATAACACGGTTTTTAACACAGAATTCCAACTCGTCGGAAATTTTATCGCTATTGCTTATTCCGATTTTCTGATCTGCATTGATACATGTGTAGTTTTGTATGTTAGATTCCGCTGTTCCTACCTTTATTTTTTTAAATATAAACTCTTTAAAACTTTTGTTATTTCTATCGCTATCGCTATTCCGTCCATTGTGCAAGAGGCTTAAATGAACTTTAAATGTTTTCTTTTTTCTCTCATATAGCAAATCTTCAAAATAATATACATATTTTTTTTAGTTTTTCAAAGTAATTTACAAACAAAAGCTGGTAGGGTTTTATACATGAGAAAAGGATGTATATTGTAAAAATGATAATAATAATAACAATTAGCCACAATACGTCAAAAATATATTGCAATATGTGTGTATATATATATATATATATATATGTATGTATGTATGTATGTATGTATATATGTATATATGTATATATGTATATATGTATCTTTACATTTATGAGATATTTGAAAGCTCTTCTAATATAGTTTGTGTATCTAAAGTATTAAGATCTATCGAAGTTCTTGTGTCCAGTATCACTCCAGTTACCTGCACAACAACACATTCATTTAAATTCAAATAAATTATTCGATTATTATTTTTTTTTTTAAATTTCTTAAACTCAACACACGTACGCATATGTATATGATCTAATTACCATTTCTTCAAAGAATGCGTGATTAGGCTTCTCCGAATATCTTTCGTACTGATCCAGATTGTCTTGCAGTTTCAAAGCAAGACTGTCGTAATTTTGTATTATAATTGCCAGAATTTGTTGTTCCGTCGGCGTTGACAGGCTCTCTTTCGCCAACCACGCAGCTATCTTTGGTGGAAAATGATTGACGATATCTCTTACATTGACGAGAGAATTTGTTAATTTAAGCGCGTGTTCCTTGTATTCGTACGACTCGCTGGTCGAATATCTAAGCGCTGAAAAGTTCCACTCGTGTGTGTTCTTTTCGTCATAAAAATAAAATTTTCGTTCGTTGCACACAAACAAAAACGCTCTTAATTCATCGCACACTTACCCATAGCATTCAAATTAGTGAAAATAAGCCTCATACGAATAATTTCATAAAACAATTCATCGTAGCTATTGGGCGATGACAAAAATGTATCGGCGTATGTAATAAAGAAGTTTAAAATGTTAACTACCTGTGTTACAAAGTGCAGAGATATTATTTAATTCAACGGCACGACGAACGTTGTTTTTCTTCGACCTATCTAATTGTATACCTGAATGGCTAAGGGAAATATGTTCATCTTCTTAATGAGATGACTCTCGTGAGTCGTTAAAAATTTCAGCAGATTGATCAACGCAGTCCAAAGATCCCGCCACTGGTAACCGAGTCTAACGCGACATCTTTTTTGATAACACAATAATCTCTGTAGAACGCCGATGCACTGATGATACAATTCAAGTGGAAATTTCTTCATCATGTGCGACGTTATAAATTCAACGAGCAGATCTGTATATACAGATGATATATATATATATATATATATACAGGGTGTCCCAGAATAGCCGTACAATCTCTCGTAGGCAGATAGAAGGAATAAAACTGAGTCGAAAAGTCCTGAACCATTTNCCCGCTTTACTCAATAATTACTCCTTTATTATAAATAATAGAAAAAAATGGTTCAGGACTTTTCGACTCAGTTTTATTCCTTCTATCTGCCTACGAGAGATTGTACGGCTATTCTGGGACACCCTGTATATATATATATAACAGCAATCAGTTTTGTAACAATATTTTGTAAATTATTCGAGTTAAACAATAAAACAAAGAAAATACCAAGTAATGTGGCTGCGAGAGGTTGGGCAGGAGCTGCTTTATCCTGCAACTTTCTATGATGCATGGGCACTCTGTGTAGCTGAACTCGAAACGCCAAATTCGCGTCGTGCATTAAACTATTTGCGTATTGGTCCTCGGCGATACAACTCAATATAAGGAAGCACAACTTCACGTTATTCATTATAGCCTCTGTTCTAATAACTTGCATAACAATGGAACTGAAAACACAAGTGGATATGTACTCTTTGCAATTTGTTGAGCAACAGTTCATTATAAGCATACGCTTTAAGCATCTTTGTTGATTTCTATCTTCTTACCAGTATTGCAGGAAGGTAGCTAGTAAATTGAACGGTTGGGCCATTACATCGGGTGGCGAAGCACCAGGAGCTACGGCGTTTGGACCCAATGTGTTATTTGGCGACGGTGGTGCACTGGTGTCGCTCTGCGTATAGGCCAGGGTAGTTACAAAATTGCGATTCAAGTGCGTAGCTTCGTACAGAGCCAAAAGCAAAGCGTTATTCGCGCGAACTTGTTGGGTTTTCGCCTCCTCCTCTCCAACAAACATGCTTCCGACTATACTAGTTATTGAGGATAACCACGATGGTTGTATCTCTGAAAATACACGAGAAAGTGTTTGTTCTTTTTGTCTTTTAAAAACATTGAATGTGATCTTAAAACTACAAATGAACTGAAAATTATAAAATTCAAGAAACATTTCGTTAAAAGTTTTTTTTTTTTTTTTTTATCGGAAGATTGTGCGATACCTGCTCTTTGCTGAGCAAATTGTCTGCAAAACTCTGTTAACGAACCCGATATAGCTTGACCGTATCCATTGAGAGCTAACTCGTCGTCCAGAATTGACAATTTAACTATGTAAGGATTCGCACTTTCATACTTTCTGTAGTTGACTAGAAGAGTTAACAACAACACTGCATCATGACCATGACGATTTCTAGCAGCCGTATCTCTTAATAACTGTGCGAGAGATAAATCAAGTTATTGATATTAAAATTTCCACATGCTCAATTCATAAGTTTCAAATAAATAAATTTAAAAAAAATAAGAAAGATGACTTAAATAAATAAATTAAAACGCACTTGAATCAGAGATTCGAAAACACTGTTCAGCATCACATATTCCAGCAAGGTATTTTGACTAATATTGTCCATACCAGTAACTATTATCAACAATAATTTCAAACACAAAGCTTTCAAACTATCTGGATATTCACCTAAAAATCAATGTGATCCAACTATACATATTTATATTACCATTGAAATATTAAAAGTATGTTTTAAACGTTTACATTCTGTAGTAATTAAAATTTGTGATGTATGTATTACCTGTTAAAAAATTATTACAATGTTGCATCAAAGTTGTCATCCTCTGTTCCGCGGAATCAAAGCCCACTAGTATATCTATTAAGTTAAATCCATAGTCGCCTTGATTGGCTTTCTTGTACATGGATTGGATTACCGCTGCTAAAGTTTGCAGCGCATATACTATTCTGAATGGATGTTCATCAACCAATGTGTCCACACAATGACACACCAGAGCATTTAAATTTTCTTTGCTAGCATTTAATTGTTCTGATGTCATATGAAGAATCTCATTTTCAATATGAGGTACCTAAAACAAATATTCCACACTTAAATATCTACTTTCTCTAATATTGTTCTGTTTGATTAAAAACATATATATATATATATATATATATAATTGAACGTACCATAGGTTTAATAAGAAACAATTCATTCCAGAAATTTGGATGAGCCAGGGTCAAATCTTCGCCTTTGAAAAAACTTTCATAGATTGGCACTAGCTTACATTTGTGCTGACGTTTGGAACCAGATCCGCTCCTCTTTCTCATAGCCATCGCTATAGTAAATTATTTTTCACTTCTCATAATCTTCTCAAAATCTAAAAATATATTTTCAAAGATTGTTTTCACATACTTATCGCTTATTATATGTTCTTTTTCTATTTGTTTTATATTTCATATACTCGTATACAATTCATTTGCGAACGAAATATAAGATATAGGTACTCTTCTATGTTTATTTTTTGTTTTCACTACATACATTTAAATCATCTTCTATGTACATGTTAATCAAAAAACTTTTTGACAAAACACATTTGCAATTTGAGATATTTTGTTATTATTTACAAAATTTACAAAGCAAGTAGAATTACTTGTAATTTGCAATTTACTGTTTTTGACAAGATATATTTTACATATCACGCAAATAACAAACGATTCTTCAAAATCAACTCCAATTAACTCTCACCGAAAATTTATCTTAGAATTTACTATAGTGTTGCGTTTTTGTTACAAATTAAAATACAATTGCGAAAAATTATTTAGTTTTTTTTATCCAAAGTTATTCGATTCAAGATAAAAAGTTTTGTGAAATTTTTATCGTGCTTATTTTAATTCTCGATCCTGTTTTTTGAACTTCTCTACTCGATCTGATCAAAATACAGCTGCTTCTTAGGTTAGAACCAGAGTGATGTCTGACCTTTTAGGGTCGCGTCGCACCACCGCAAAACTGCACGAACGCTTAAAAATAGAAAAAGACCGAGATCTCGAACGCGGAGAGAGAACTGACCGAATTGCATTGGTCGATTGACTGAATTGATTGAATACGATTGGCCAATTCTCTCTCGAATCGAGTTTTCATCGTAATGGACGCAAGGCCTGCGATAGACGACGTCTCTGACACTATGGTGTTTAATTGTTTTATTTTTTTTTCTAATGAAAAAAAGAATTATGTACACACACGTGCGCATACGTGCGATTACCTAGAGAGCAGGAGATGATATACTGTAAAAAAAAACACTGAATAATTACAGAGTGTACACAATATGAGTCTACACTGGAAAGTATTTAACAAAATAAAAACCCAAAGGTATATTTTTTATATTTTACTATTAACAAATTATAACATTAGTATTTTTTAAAGAAACGATAATTGTATAACATTACTCAGATAGCCAAATGTGAAAAAACTCAATGTAAAGCAAATCATTGTATAGATTAAGTTGCTCGCCAATTGCTGTTGTGTTGTTGTTTTTTTATTTAACGCAACGAAAATGTTTTTGTCAATTCAGTATCAATACGCTGAGTTTTATTATCAATCAATTGTTGTAGCCAATGTTTAGGACATGCGAGTCAGCAATATGAGTGAGCAATACATGAGCAATAATAGTTATTCACAAGTTTATGAGAAAAATAATATAAGTTTATTGTCGATGAGTTGTTGAGAACTTGTTATTATATTTTGAAAACTGTTGTTGGCAAGAACATACTGAAAAGAGGACCTACACTCTTTTGTTACATTGCTGAAAACATATGAGTAATATTTGCGGCAAGTTGCCAACAACTTGCATTCAGTTGGCTATCTGGGTAGTATTTTTTAAAGAAACGATAATTGTGTTTAGAATCACAGTCTTACTATAATTGTCTCTTTCAGAACGCAAGTACCGTTGCTACAAGTGCTTGTAAAAACGTATGCTAATTCGTGCGATCCACAATGCTTTTCAAGGAAAACGTCGGAGTCTTCCAGGAAGAAGTTGCGAGAATCTCCTGCATTGTGTGCAACATACGCCGCTGTTGCCGCATCAGTGTTAGGTATATCTTTTTACTACATCTTCAACTACAAAAGAAATGTTTATGCGCTCAATGCTATGGAAAATGTAAAATGTGGCCAATTGCGAAAGGATATGAAGACGTACAGCTTGGAGGAAGTAGGAAAACACGATAAAAAAGAAAATCGCATTTGGGTTACCTTTGGACAAGGTGTGTACGATATAACAGATTTTGTAGACAAACATCCAGGTGGCCCGTCTAAGATTATGATGGCCGCCGGAGGTTCGATCGATCCCTTCTGGTCAATTTTTGCGAATCACAACACGGAGGAAATATACTCAATGTTGGAATCCATGAGAATTGGAAATATTTCGGAAGATGACGCCAAGTCCAACAAGACCGACTCGTACGATCCGTACGCAAACGAACCCAAACGGCATAAAGCCTTAATAGTTAATGCTTCCAAACCGTTTTGCGCAGAACCACCGTCTTCTTTGTTGGTTGAGAGCTTTCTCACACCTACGTAAGTGTACGCATTATTCAGTTCAAGCAATTTGCTCGTCAGAGTTTTGTGTCGTATTGTATGTTCTTACATCGTTCATTCATTTTCCAGTGATCTATTTTACGTACGGAATCATTTACCGGTGCCACAAATAGATGTGAAGGACTACGCGTTGGAATTAGCGGTAGAAGATACAGTCAAAAAGACACTGAGCTATGAAGCGATAAAGAAGTACAAAAAACACACTGTAACAGCCGCTGTCATGTGCGGAGGAAACAGACGTTCCGAAATGTCACAGGTGAATCCATGAAAAAAAATTTAACATTTCGTTAGTACTAAGGTGTGTTTTTTTTAAAGCGGCACGTTTGCTCAAATTTATAAGAGTACAAAAACAGGTAAAAAAACTGAAAGGTGTTAGTTGGAGTGTTGGCGCCGTCGGGAACGCAACGTGGACGGGTGCGCGATTGTGCGATATTTTAAAAGATTTGGGAATAAGCGAGGAGAAATTCAATCACGTTCAGGTACTTCCATCAATGATGAGTTATAACTAATGTACATACAAAAACATGCGTTGCATGTTTGCACTAAAATTTATTTCTTTCGTTTTTGATCAGTTCGAAGGATACGATCTAGATCCATCTGGTACACCGTACGGTGCAAGCATCCCGATCTCCAATGCTATGGATCCGAGAAAAGAAGTCATTCTGGCTTACGAAATGAATGGCGAACCGTTGAGCAGAGATCACGGATTCCCGATACGAGTAATCGTTCCCGGAGTTGTCGGAGCTAGAAATGTGAAATGGCTCGGTACAAGAAATTTCTTAAAAGATCCTAATAATAAGTATATATATATATATATAATAATATTTTAATATATATAATAATAATATATATAATATATATATATTATAT